TATTCTAAAGTAAACAATACATACAAGTACAGTACAGTATTTTCTGAGGAAACACTCATACTTATTTTTTTTAACCCCATTCCTCGATAACCCGGCATTTTCACAAACTCGGCCACCCTTCGATCCACATTAGGCTGAGTTTTCGAGACTCTACTGTATATGTATATATACCCAAATCAATTTGCATTTGCTTTTAATAGTCAAAATGGTTCAAGTAATGGTAGGAAGAAGACAGTGATTTCTATAAAAGAAAAGAGAAAGATTGTGCAATCAAAGAACATAATCTGAAGCCTAGCCAGCATTTTATTGCCAACCACTTTGTGCTGTTGTGAAACAAGTCAGTCAACCATAGGACTACTGATGATATTCTAGGTGACAAAGAAAAGTGGAGCAAAAACAAAAAAAGTTAATAAAAAACATATCTTAGAGCATCAAAACGTCAAGTACTAGAAGTTTCACTTGTTATATTGATCAGATACTGTAAATGCTTAGCATGGATTAATAAGTGAGGAGATAATCATTATTTGGAACTCCATATTTGGATTTTTGGAAAACTGTATCCAACAATTCCGATGGGAATTGTTGGATTCAGTTTTAGTAACGGATGACTGGCATGCTACAAAAGGTCCCTGCATTGTGTAAAAGTAATTAAAAATGGTGAAATGACAGTTGATGGAAATGTCATCAATAAAGCCCTCCAAAGCCTTCAATAATGGTAGCATCATTGAAGAATAGGACCCAAAAGATGTTTACAGTATGGATGAAAGTGCATTATTCTATCATATGCAATCATACAAAACAATTTCAGTTAGTTTTATAGAACTTTCGGAATATGCAACCATATTCCGAAAGTTCTATATGAACTTTCGGAACTTTCTATATGAATATTCGGAAAGTTCTATATGAACTTTCATATGCAACCATACAAAACAATTTACACTTCTATTTTTCATCATTTCTGATGGAAGTGACAAGAGAAAAGTGATTGTTATTGGAAAAGTGCATGACTCTTGTTGTTTCATGAACTTTAATCCAATACTCAATAAGGAAGCTTGGATGACTGCTGTAGAATTTGGATAATGGTTCAAAAACTTTCTGTTCTTTATCTTTATGAAGGCATTAAAGGTGCTTTGCTGCTTCATAGTGTTATGTGAAAGATGGTCAGGGTTGTCAATAAGATGCTCAATAATGTCAGGATTAAATTTATATTATTCAGCTGTAATGGGATGTTGCAGCTACTAGATACAGATGTTATAAAGAACTTCAAGAAATAGTATCATTAACACTAAATGGCAGACTATCAACTGCATTAATGATAACAAATCCATTTATGATTTTCTTTTAATGATGTGCTCTTCATGGTTAAACATGCTAGGGAATGAAGTCACTCCAACAATTACTCACCGATAGCTGGACCCATATCAGATTGACAAAAAGACACAATCCCAGTTTCTTAAGATGACAACAATCATATTCTCAGAAAAAAATTAGAACATCTTAAAGGCTACAGTTCCATTGATTATCTCATGACTGCAGAGGAATTCATTCATAGCAATTCACTAAGTGTAACACTTCAACATGAAAGATGTCAACAGATGACATTGTGAAGATGGTTAGTGGCATCAAAGACAATTCTTCAGCATAAGAAGACGATGATGATGATAATGAGCAGTGTGACATTAAAAACAGTGAGAGAAAGCTTTGTAAACTTAAGGTGAACATTAGAGAAGTATTGTGACAACAACTCTGAATTGAGTCATATGATAGCTTTAGACACTTAGAGATATTAGCAAGAAAACAAAACAACAAATGTTTATTCATCCATTCTTCAATTCTCAAGAACAACGGTAAGAAATGATATATAAGCATGTGCATCAAACTAAGTGCATGATGATAAAATATGAGAGTGCAATATAAGATGATAAAATGCAAATTATATTGCACTGAAATATTATTGCAGCAAATTATATTGCACTGAATGGCATGTGCCATTCAGTGCAATATAGATTTTCCTTTGTTCTTGCAGATAGTCTTCAGTTTGGATTGATGTTGAATGTGAGAATGAAGTACAGTACTGTGTATTCTTGATTGATAGTAAGGGCATATTGTAGTTATGCTAAAATAATAAACATTATCATTTTATACAGTACAATACATCACCTAAAAATTCTGTAGAGAGTAGCCTGATGGTCTGCAAATTACAGTATTATTTTGATAGTACATTAAATCGTGTTTTGATAAACCACTTGCATCAATTAGCTGCCAAAATTATGATGGAACAGACAATGGCATCTCAACAGGGATTAACTTTATAAAATACTTGTATTATACAAGTATATTATATAGTCAATCCATTGAGTATAATATATATAAAATACACAAGTACCATTTTTTAATGGATTAGTCATAGTTTTTTATTTGATAAAATATTTAGTTTACTTTAAACTAATTTATAGAATGAAATATTAATGCTTTAAATTGCTTGCTTAAAATTATGTTTTGTATCTAATTAGTTTTAAAATTATGAAGGAATTTTTATGCTGATTAATTATAAGATTAAATAAAATAAAATTCTGATTTTTATGCTAATTTTTTAATGATGATCAAACATAAAACTTGTTCATTAAACTGGTCCATTATCAATGATCATCTGCTTTCTGATAAATATATATATATATAAAATTGCATTTTTTTTTGTGTGTGCAAGTTCTGCAATTTTTTTAATCATCAAACTTGCTGAAACTACAAAAGTTTGCATTATAACAATTTATCTATAAATCTAAGAAAAGATTTTCTAAATAATTAAACAGTGTACTTTTTTAAACAGAAATCATTGATTTATAGCTGTTTAATCCTAATTTTATGATTTTTATTAGCATTTAATTAATATTTTATCATTAAGTTATTTGAATTTTTTGTACATCAGTTGTGAATTTTTTTTCAAATAAAGCAGTTATAAATTGGTAGATTACTTATTTATTTTTATTGTTCAGAATTTTTAATTTAAAAAATATTATCTTAAAATGATGATAAAAAAGAAATATTTATTTTGCAAAAGAAATTAGGTTTGAATACAAAGGGAAAATAAATCATTCTTTTAGTCAGAAAAAATTTATAGAATTTATTTTAAAAAACTTTTTACATTATTAGCAGAGATTTTGTTTAGGATAATCTCTATCTGTTTGTCCAAAACTTAGCCCTGATAACTGTGACATGTTTTGATCGGATAATTTGACAGAAGGAATTTTTCTGTACTGATTAACCAGGTGNTAATTAATATTTTATCATTAAGTTATTTGAATTTTTTGTACATCAGTTGTGAATTTTTTTTCAAATAAAGCAGTTATAAATTGGTAGATTACTTATTTATTTTTATTGTTCAGAATTTTTAATTTAAAAAATAATTTTATTGAATAATAGTAGTAATAATAATAATAATTATTATTATTTTTTCTATTGTAGAAATATGAAATTATCTTTTGATTTAATGTTTAATTACAATTTGTTTCAACATAATACTTCACTGTATTAAAACACTTACAAGATGGAAAAAATAGCTAAACTGAAAATTGAGATGATGTTTTATTAAATATATATTTTTATATTTTCATATTTTTAATTGGGTGCTTCTGTGATTAATATAAGAATTTAACAAAACATATATTCAAAATGTCAGCAAAATTTAATCTGTTGCATGTAATTATACTTACAAAATTTTACCACTTAGATCAGATAGAATGCAGTCAACTTGGCAACAAGAAACATTACCCAATGTGGCTGGAAGATACTTTAAAAAAAATTACCCATCTGATATCTTGTGTCTCACCCCAAGTCTTTCTACACAATATCTTGCTTTGATAACTGCTTATCAACTTTGCAACTGATCCATAACATTATAAATAATAAAATATATGTAAATAATATATTCCAGTCTTTCTAATCATTAATTTTATTTTAAATTGATTGGCTTTATGTATAGTTTAGAAAATTGTGAAAACTTTAGTTGAGTAAAAGAATAATTAAGTTAATAGTTCTATTATTGCCTTACTTTCAGATTTATTCTTTTAAAACTACAATTTGTTGCTAGAATTTTAATTGATATAAAATTTGTTTAATTCATTTTTAAATTGTTTTTCAAATGACTGCTAGAATTTTATTTATCAAATTATTTTATTATTAAGTTCTTATAAATCAATAGTAATTCATTAGTAAATACTTCTTCCTGTTGATGAAATTAGAAATTTGATACAGCTGCAGAGTGACAAAGTATTGAAGAATTCCTGATATAAACTTGTCTATCAAAAGCTAATTCCAAAAAAATTCTTATGGATAACCTCCAGAACAACAATTTATTTTCATTAAATGTTATACAGTTTTTTAAACATATTTTTGTGTATGTTTTTTTACAAATTATAAAATTTTATTTTATTTATCACTGTAATTAGTTGTTAAGATCCTTTATGTTTTAAAACTATGTAACAGAGAAATAAAAGACTAGTTTTTATTACATCAATATTAGATAAATTAAAAATAAAATATTAAAAATTGTAATCCAGGTGCAAAACATTAAAGAGCACACATGGCTAGTGACAGGTGCAAACTTTCAACAGATAAAAATGTGGGCTCTTCACTTTGTCATTTACACAAGTTACTGTTAATGACTATATATATATATATATATATATACATAGTTTTGATTGTGTTCCATGTTTTCTATAAGAAGTTTTGCATACTTAGTTATTAAATTATATATATATTGAAAAATTCAGTTTTAAAAGGTTATTTTATAATTCCAGATTTAGTTAAGTTCATATATGGTTTAGCTGGAAAATATTCAGTTACAAAATGATAGTGGAGAAGAAAACTCTGTTTTTTTTTTAATAAACAATAGTAAATCATAGGTGGCTTGGATCATATTCAGTTTTAGAATAATAATTTTTAATTTTTACACTAAGTAAATTTTCACACTAAGAATGTATGTATTGTATTTATATTTTCAGATCTTACTGTAGATTGAATTGTTATCTCCATAAATCAAGAGTCCTATTAATAAAAGTAGGTATATAAGTATTTAAATAATAATATCTTAATATTTTACTATATATTTTAACTGTTTAAAATTGATAAATAAAAGAACAACTAAATTTAACACAAGTATAATTAATTTTTTGGAATACGAAACTTTAGACTAGTTAGAACAGTTTAAAGAATTATATCTGATTTTAAAATAACAAATTCCCAAAAACCGAAATAAAAAATATTTATTATAGTTTTCAAAGAATTTTCTGCAGGTCATTTTCCAAAATGTCATTATATGAAAATCCATACTCATTATATATCAATTTGAATATTCTTAGTAGTTGATAATATTTATGCTACCATGAATAACCAAAATTAGCAGGTTCTAAAGTAGTAAAAAAAAAAAATCTGCTTCATTTCCAAGCAAAGTAAATTTATCTCTTGCATTTTGATTAAGGAAGATGGATTAGGAAAAAACATTTGCATCCATAAATAAATCACTGAATAAATTAAAGATGCTTCAAATATTATATAATCCTAAATAATAGCATTTTTCAGTATGTAAAATATTACTTATAATTAATATATAGTAACTGGAAAGATTTTTAAAAAATATTATCTTAAAATGATGATAAAAAAGAAATATTTATTTTGCAAAAGAAATTAGGTTTGAATACAAAGGGAAAATAAATCATTCTTTTAGTCAGAAAAAATTTATAGAATTTATTTTAAAAAACTTTTTACATTATTAGCAGAGATTTTGTTTAGGATAATCTCTATCTGTTTGTCCAAAACTTAGCCCTGATAACTGTGACATGTTTTGATCGGATAATTTGACAGAAGGAATTTTTCTGTACTGATTAACCAGGTGATTATCTAAAATTGCTGGAATACATGGGAGGTATAGGCTGTTGTCTTTGTATATAAATATAAGATTAGAAATTATATAAATAATGTATAGTAATTAATTTGTCTTTGTTCAATTTAGTTTCCATCCTTAAGCAAAGAAAAAATATTTAATAAATATATAAAATATATCAAAAATTAATTTTAACTTTAAAAAGATGCTAAAATCAAAAACTTTTTTTATAATTAATTTTTAATATAATTTTTTTTTAG